TCAGTTAAAGTTCGAAATTATATAAAGTGCAATTATTTTTTATTATGTTAGTCTTGTTTTGACATTTGATATCTTTCGAAATTAATTTGCTGTAATCATATATACTTTCAATAATAATCTATGATACAAGTTCTTTGACGAATGAAAATAATAAATGAAATAAGTAAAAAATAAATAGATTCCAAAGGTACAAAGAAGATACAAAGAAGAACCGCAAAAAATTGAATTAGAATTATCTTGGGATTGATCCTGGGATGCTTTGTATAGATTTTAATAATCCTCTGATCCAAAATGATTTCTCAGGTAGACGAATGAAAGCAGCAGATTTACGTATAATTGAATTTTAATTTGCCCAGAGAGAGAACTATTCTTGCAGAAATAGCCGCGGATATTCAGTCGCTAAACGATAATTGAATCGGATTTCCGAATCCCACGATTAAGTCGCTTCCCTCGTCAATTTAACGCTTTCTTCGTCCCTCGTATTTTTCGAAGGAGGTAGGAATATTTTATCCGAAAGACACCCCGCGCATATTACAGCGAGCAATGCCAATGGCATGAATAGCTGATGAATCGGTCCGAATGAATTTTATCACCCCAATGCGATCCAACCGCATCCGTCCGTACCATTTGTTCAGCCTTCGTGCAAGACGAATGATTATATATTTTAACACAGAGCTTATACGTACCGCAATTGAAGCAGTCCGCACAGTCGCGGTTTACCGCATACAACCCTCCCGGAATTGCAGACCGATGAATTGGCTTCCGGACTACGAATGATGCCACAGCCGCGGATCGCGCTCCAATTTGCATGGAGCAATATTATTTTATCCTCGAATCCAAGGACCAGCTTGCGTAAGCTCGTGCGCGCGCGCGGATATCAATATGTGGGATGAAGTTGCAGTCTCCACTGTTATCATGCAAGCGGAAATTCAAACCTTTCGAAGCATCCTCGAGATATTAACGTTGAATTTTATTTCTATAAATATAAAACTGCTAAAGAAAGATATTATAAAATATGATACACCATTACTCAACTGATTGAAAAACTGATTGTTATATATCAATTTTGTAGCTTTTAAGGTTTTATTTATAATATTCGAATAACAAAATATTTTGAATTGACATACATTTTTCCGAAATGTTTCATTTCGAATATTTTCACGTATTGGTATTTCTCATAATAAATTCGTACGTTTGCGAGATCGCAAGTTTCGAATGTCCGTTAAGGTTGTATGCATATTTAATGAATATTGTACAAAACGTTGCACATGTTATGCGATATTGCATTTTGAAATTATAGCAATGTAATGTTTTCCAAGTTAAAACATTTTAAGCATACAATTTTTACATAAAGATGACGTACATATATTAGGTGTTGGAATTAATTCGTAGCGTTTTAGTAATTCGTAAGGAAAAGAACAATGAAGATAAACGATATTTGTGAATTAAATTATTCAATATTTTTTTAATTCTAATAGATTTCTGAAAAAAAAAAACAGTTAATGGACATTCCTACATTGGCTGTTCTTAATTAATGAATATCCGATGGTGCTAATGTAATTAACGGCGTTCGATTAAACTGCGAATGAAAACCACCGAAATAGTCTCAACGTCCATTCCCGTTTTTCTTGAATTAACTATGCAATTGTGCTTTCTCGCAGATGGTGCAGCGAAGTAACAAAAATACAGTTGTGTTATCATAGAGATTAATCCATTATTTATGATTTATTTTCTTCGAGTCTACGGTATTCTACTTCTTCTTATAGTAAATTATCAAATGATAGCTACAAAATAATTTTATAATTTTCACGTGGTCCACTGAAAATTTGACTTAACCCTTCCAGGACTTTTGAGAAATGGAACATATAATGTCTAATTAGTTTTAAAGATTTGAGGGATCACTGAATATAAAAATGAGGTCGAAATATAAAAATTGACAACTCAAAAGCTTGAAAATTACAATTGTTTGTACATTAATAATGTATAATAAATGATGTAAAATAAATTTTCTTTAAAACTAGTTAAACTAAATGACTTAATATTTACAAAGATATCATTTTTTAAAGATACTGGTACGTGCACTAGATCTGAAAGTAAAAAAGTACATTTTAGATTAATCTACATTGAAAAGAGTCTGATAATAATAATTAAGTCTAGATGATAGCTACTAAAGTTTGGTGAAATAATTTCAATTAAATGTTAGATTAATAGAACCAAAGCCTATTAAATGTTAATTTTACTTTTCTAAATATTATCAAACGATTAATTACTATTATTATATTTACTTAAATATCGCAATATGCTAAAATATATTAATAATTATTACTTTCTTTTTAATGTAAAATGTATTTTTTATATATACAGTTGATTCCTTCTTATGTACTTATAAGAATATGTATATACATCATAAAAGGTAATTTACGTGCGAGTTTATCATGTTTCTTGGCCATTTCGTTCTTGTTATAGTGTACCTGAAATATGTTTTTTCCATGTGCGATTTGCATATAAAGTAGATGTGTGAGAGAACAGAAATAGAGACTTGTCGTTGCTATCATCTGGGTCACAGGTGACGAGTTTGGCCGCGTTTCAGGTAAACGAGACCCATCCTTGGACAAAGTGCTCGTAGTGCCCCTTCCAGAATCTTTCACATCCATGAACAAAGCATTTCCATGATCTGATGCAAATATTTGCGTGACAATATATATTATCTTTTATACGTATAAACGAAGTCAATGGCCAGTACAAAAAGATACACATTCATATATTTAACTAAAATAAGATGGAAGTTATATTAATATTAAAATGATTATTCTTTTATTACGTAACCATCTCGAAATTTTTACGAAAATATATAAGTCTTCACAAAAGTGAAATTAATCGGTAGACGATTATGTAAATATGCAATTAACGTATCAAAGCAATATACAATTCTCTAGCCTAACTTGAGTTTGCAGCACAAACAATTCGTTTGAGACAATTTTGAGGTTGTAACAGATTAGGCTTTAAGCTTGATCGACCGAACAACTACAGCTTAGAATTCGAATACTGTTATTAAACCACCAAATCCATTCACGATTGCTCGTAAAGTCTCTATTCAACTAATCCGCCAAAGAGTACGCAGCGTCGATAGCTGCTACTGAAGTTTTAGTAAATAAGGAAGTATATTTGGATTTCGACTGTTTGCAATGTCTAGTGAGATTTGGCGAGTGTGTGTATATATAAATCCGATTTACAAGATAAACAAAATTCAAAATTTACACATTTATATCGTATTAATATGTAGTAATGTGCGGCTATATATTTTACATATATTTTTAATTATAAAATAAATATAATTATCATTTAATTTTACTATGCTTTAAAAAAAAGAAAATAAATTTTTTAATTAAAAATTATTTAATTATATTGTATTTGAAATATAATAAAAAAAAAATGAGTTTGTCACCAAAAGATGATTAGTCTTGAGATCAGTTTCTAACATTGTCCGCTATTTTTTATAATTTTACGGAAATTTATTATAAGCTCAGCGTGCAGTCGACGTAAACGTCATAAGTTTGTAAAACTTTCTTTTTTTGAACTATTTGTATATGTCAGATGCGTATATTTCCCAATATACTTTTTTCTAAAAAGTTAAATAAATAGCTTCAAGGTATTAAAATTAAATCTGCAGAATGAAAGGTTTCAAAGAGGACTTAATAAGGATAATATCATCAAAGTAGGTTTTTATTAGCTGTAGAGATTTAAGTGTCAAAGTATCAGTGAAATTCGAGGAAATTCGGTGAAATTCAACATTTATAGCTTCAATGTTGCCTTAAAATAAATCTATAGAGGTTTAGAAAAGAAGTTAATAAGTATAATATCAAAGTAGGTTTTTCGTAGTTTACAAAGTATTTTAGTAAGTGTGAACTATTCTTAAGAATATCAAAGTAGTATTAAAATTTCGACTCAGGAAAGAGATTATAAAATAGTCAGATTATAAAATATTATATATTTTCTTAACATAAAATATGTACAAAATACTATTTATGAAAATTTTTTTGTAAATGTTCCACATTAAAATAAATAATTCTATTTGAATATATATCAGTAAATTATTTGATATGAAAATATTCGTGAATAAGAACGAAACATTCTATAGCAAACACGATAAGTAAGTACATTTATTAATCTATACATTGTAAAATAGAACATGATCATTTATAATATGTTTATCGCGTATGCTATCCCGCCATTAAATTTAGAATTTGCATTTGAATTTTAATATGAAAGCCGATAATTTAAATGTAAATTATAACGCATATTTTACGCTTTTCCAGTTCGATCGAAACATGCATATCACTATATACACGCATTATGTGTTTTTCATACGAAACATATTACTCTCATCATGTTAAGACACTTTGTTTCATATAACTCTACTGAGTAATTAATAAAATTAATCGGACATTTTTACAAAATCATACTTATTAAATTATTTTCCCAAAACAATTTTCTGCATATCACGCATATATTCAGTCTAATAGATTAATTATTTAATTTCTCTTGCCATATGAATATATCCGTGCACATGATACATTTATATAGTAATATTTAAAATTTTAAAAACGATGTGCTGTGTGTGTGTTCATCGATAATAAGATTAAATATTTATACATAGTTTAGACTACGTTCTGCAGAAAGGACAATCAGCAATCAAAATTTGATTGCATATTTCCTTTTTATACAATTGCATTTGTAAAATAACATCGCAAAGATAAACATACAACTAACTAATACATAACTGTCCCGAATAAAACGTATTTGCATACGACTGAAGCTGAGCATACTTATTAGTTATGGTAATACTGTTGCTATTTATAATAAGAACTTATTACATAATTTTATGATAAACAGAGAAAAGGAAAACTTTTCTTAACAATAGCAAGTCAATCGTCTTGTGATATGTAAGAAAGAAGACGTTAAGAATTTAATTTGCAATTTCGCTTTGCTTTTTGTTCCAGGCACTTCTACAAGCTCACGACGTTGCCGGTCACGAGGTCTACGGCGAGGAAGCCACCAGGGTAACGCCACCGCCACTTCTCACGTATCTGAATGGCGGCGACGATCTCGAAGGACAAAACGGCGATTTAGATGAAAAAATTACTCGCGTCAGACTGGTGCAGTTCCAGAAGAACACGGATGAGCCGATGGTGAGTAACAAGGCAAATACATATGTGTTTCGGCAATGTGAAACGTCATTTTTGAAATATGGTACAAAAAGCTTCCTATGGTATGATTTTTGATTTTAAAACGAGAGAGAAAAATATATATATATATTTTAAATAAATTCTTAAAAAATATGTGTGAAAAAATTATTTTTTAATAAAAGCGTAAAAATATGTATACAGATATATACAGAGAAAAAACAAACGGATAGAAGCTCCGATTGTAATCGGTGAGTCTCCGCGCGGACACGCCGAACTGGGCCCACTAACAAAACAATGAGTCTGTCTCTGTCCTTCTCTCTGTGGTCGCTTGTTTCTAGCGATCGAAAATATTTTCTCGACGATCTCGGCCGCTTGGCGTGTATCATAAGGAGGAAAGAGACATTTTAGATAATACATAATTTTTATAAAATTATATTAATCCTTTGCCCTACGATTTAAGTTACGATGGCGCGT